TTCTCTGCACCATGGCCTGGTCCCCTCTCCAGCTCACCCTTCTGGCTCACTGTACAGGTGACTAGATACAGGCCAAGGGAAGGGCCTGGGAAGTCCATGGGACCTGCTTGCTCCTCTAGGCCCAGAATCACCCTCTCTCTATCTCTCTCACCTCCAGGATCCTGGGCCCAGTTGGTGCTGACTCAGCCACCCTCAGTGTCTGGGACCCTGGACCAGAGGGTAACCCTGTCCTGCACAGGAAGAAGTGACAACATCTGTAACTGGGGTGTGCAGTGGTACCAACAGTTCGCAGGAATGGCCCCCTGGGTCCTCATCTATTGTAACAGCAATTGACCCTCAGGGATCACAGATTGATTCTCTGGCTGCAAGTCTGGAACATTGGCCTCCTCGATCCTCTCAGGGCTTCAGGCTGAGGATGAGGGTGATTCTTACTGTCAATCCTATGACAGTGGCCTCAGTACTCACAGTGCTCCAGGTCAGAGGGGAAGTGAGACAAAAACCTGCTACCTGTCCAGCTCCAGGACTTCTCTTCTTAGCACTCACCATGGCCAAGTCAGCTGCTTCTTTTGTCTGTTTGGCCTGAAGCTGGGCCTGAGCTTCTGTCCAGTGACATTTATCTAGAGAACCTGTCATCACCTCTCCAATTCTGCCCGAGTTCTGGTCTTTGGCAATAATACATTGTGTATTTTTCTCAAAGTCAGAAGGTAGTCCAAGAGTCCAGGGACAGGTGACTCTGAGAAGAGTTCCCATACACTTTATTCTGCTGAGGCTCCCACAGCACAGATCCCAGGCTGGGCATCCCCCAGACATCTTTATTTCCTCTCAGGTCCAGAGGGTGGAAGTCTTGGTCCACTTGTCAGCAGGCTGATTCCTTATAAGTCCTCTCTTCATGGCCTGCAGGTCACCATCTCTGGCTACATCCCTGGATAGTGACTTCTGGACTCTGATAATGTGTGTGCAGATATCTTATACAGACGTCCATCCTCGGGAGCTAGCACACTGCCATTGGGACCTCATTAACCCATATGGCCCCCACAAAGGTGCAATTTCCAATACAGACACATTGGGGATGAGGCTGTAGAAACATGAATTTGGGAGCTCATTATTCAGTCCTCACAGTTGTCGAGGAAGATCAAGGACACAGAGTCCAATTGGCCCTGACCCAGGAGAGCTGACTATCTAGAGATCACCTGTTTATACCATTTACTGAGCACCTCCAGAGGTGGCCTTGTGGCTCAATATAGAGCGAAGACAAGTCAGCAAAGGTCCCTTCCTTAAAAAGCTGACATTGGTTGAAGAAACACACAGGACATAAATAAAACAACATTAAGAATAATACATGTTTTGGGTCAGCAGGTGGCATAGTGGTTAAGATGCTGGATCCCACATGGCCAACTGTGCTGTTAGACTCCTGAATTCAGTGACTTGAAAACCATGCCAGGAGCTGGGATCAGCAGTTAGCGTAATGGCTATGTCTCTCGGGTCCCATGTAGTTGACCACGGTTCAAGTCCTGGACCCGGTGGCTTAAAACTCACACTGGATGTATGTGCGTGTGTGCCCAAGATCCCAAGGGGAGAATGGAGGAGAAGGAATTGTGGTGTGGCCATCCCCTCTGGAGAGTGATTTCTCACATTCTGACTGTCTCTCTGTCTGGTGAGCTCATGCGTCCTATGGCAAAAACCTTTCAAAAAAGAAAAAATGCCAGGGGCATGTGTGCGCATGTCTGAAATCCTGAGTGGATAATAGAGGAAAAGGGAATGTGGTATGGCCATATCCCCCAGGGTTTGATTTCTCATTTTTCATCTCTCCTTGTTGCTCTCTCTCAGTTGAGTGCATGTGCCTTATGACTAAAACCTAAAAATAAAAAAAAAGAAAATACATGTTTCAGGAGAATAAAGAGGGTGAGTGTGGAAGTTGGGGAGCTCCACTTTGGAGGTGTTCCTCCAGCTTGGAGCATTCTCTAAACTCAGGACAAGACAAGGATGACCACTTTCCTACTTGCACTCAGAGCAGCATTGGAGGATCTAACAGAGCAATTAGGTAAGAGAATTGAAAAGAAGAGAAATAAGAAATAATGAATTAAAATGATCTCTACCTCAGAGTATATGACCATGTATATAGACAACCTTTCAAAAAAAAACTTAAATACAATGACAATTATGAAAGAAACTCAGCAGTTTCAAGATACAAAATCAACATGCAAATGTTCATTGAATTGCATGACTTTAGAAATAAACAAACACACATAAAATTAATAAAGCAATGCATTTGATCACATCAAACACAACCAAATAATTAAGAGTAAACTTAATCAATGAAAGAAATGAGTCAGGCATTTTCAGTCAGAACACATTACCTTGGGCTGTAGGTGCTGTAACCTAATAGTTAAGAGAGCCAGACCCTGTAGCCTAATAGTTAAGAGAGCCAGACCCCACATAGATGATGGGGATTCCAATTCAGTTCAAAACCCAGGCCCAATAGCTTGAAAAACATGCAAGCATAGGGCCAGCAGGTATCATAGTGGTGAAGGTGTTGTACTCCTACACGGTCAACTGCAGTTTGAGTCCCTGACTTGACTGGGTGAAACTCATGCTGGGCATGTGTGACTGTAAGCACCAAATCCTGAGAGGAGAAAGGAGGAGGGATTGCAGTGTGGCCATTCCCCCTTGGGGGTTAGCTTCTCAATTTCTCTCTCTGTGTGTCTCCAGCAAATGCACTTGTCCTATAGCAATAATCTCTCTTTAAAAAAAAAAAAAGAAGAAGAAAAAAAAGAAAAAGAAATGGAAAGAAAAAAGGAAAACATACAAGCACATATGTTTATGTGCACCCAAAACCCTGACAGAAGAGGGAATGCAAGGTAAAGTTTAGCAGTGTGACCACTACAAATAGGGGGTGCATTCTCTCTCTCTCTCTGGCAAGTGCACATTTCATCTGGCTATAAAAAGTGAAACAAAGAAAATTTCAAACACAAAAACATACTGACCTATAAACTGAAAAAAAAAAAAGAATGCTACTTGACCCATCCCACAGGTCCACATATACACATATATACATCACTTTGTGTTGTCTTCTTTGATCTAGCTTCCTGTGTATCCCCAATGTGTTCACAGGGCAATTTCCCTCCCGTGCAATGTTGTATACTTTAACTGAGCTTTAACATCCCATGCCCAGTGTCTGGAAACAGCTGGGAGACTTGAGCTTTGAAGTATTGTTGACAATGAATAACATGTAAAAAAAAATTATAGCCAGCTAAAGAGTACTTTTCCAATGAGATAATAATTCAGCTGGGAGAGCATCACTGTTCCTGTGCGGGACATATGAGATCATTTCTATGGCATTGTCTTGGGTAGTGACTGTAAAAACCTGCAGAAAAACACTGCAGAGAAAAGGCAGTGACCCATGTGCTTACTTAACACAGTGACAGGAGGAGGTGGGCTCTGTGTCTAATATTAAATATTGTGATATTGTAGATGCCAGAGATAAAGTATTTGCAGGACAACTGGTAAACCACTCCGCTGGCTGCAGAATAATTAGACAAAAGGAGTCCTCACTGATGTATGAACGTCCTCCTCTCTGAGCCCCCATTGCACCATGAGCTGGATCTGACTTTATTTCATTGTTCCAAGTTTCTGTCAGTTTTTTCTTTTCCTCTTCAGAATCTTTGCCCAAATCTGGTCCACAAAGGGCTAAAGAACAGTGAGGACCCAGAGTGCAGGTAGATAGAGAAATTATGCCCATGGAGTCTGGTTGGGGATAAGACCTAGTTTATCATGCTGTGATCCCCCGTGGGGGCATCTAGAGACCGAGCTCTGAGCATCTCCTCCCTGCCCTGCAGCCTTTGTCCCCTAGTCCTTTATAAGAGAGACATTCTCCAAGGACTCAGGGAGGGGACCCAGGGCTCACACATACCTGCTTCTTGCTCTGTCCCATAGGAGCAGGTGAGCTGGAACACCAGACTCACAGCCCTCCTTCTGAAGGCACTGGGCAGTTGGTCAGAAGGTCACTGTCTTCCGCAATGAAAATTTAGGGAAGGTGGCTGAGTCTGATGCTGTGTGGCATCAACAGTTCCATCCTGAAGTCCTACTCAGTGAAGGTTATTATTTCCTGGGCCACAGCTTGGGAGGGAGCTGCTTTGGCTTACAAATCTGAAACAGCAGCCTCAGAGCTCACTCTGCTCCTGGCCCAGGGAGTGGGCTAATACCTGGCCTCTAGTCCTGCTGCCCAGTGGTACCTCCCTCTCAGAGACTATATCCAAGACTAGCCGACTGGGCACTTACATTGTCATTTCCTTCTCAGGAATGTGAAGACCCAAGGCCACAAAATTAAGATCCTGGAGTCTTCAGTACTGACTGCTGTCTGCTGTTTATTCTGTCAGGCATTACAACTAGTTATTAACTTGCTTTGTAAAATTTAATTGTCTCACCATTATGGCATTATTGAATAATAGTTGAGGGAAAGTGCAATGTCACTTTAAAAAAAAAATAAGATAATACCTGAAGGACGTGTGTGTGTGTGTGTGTGTGTGTGTGTGTGTGTGTGAGCGACCTGACCAGTTATAGAAACCAGCTGATCTCTCAAGCCTCTGTTGGGGACATGTGTGACTATGACTAGCAGGTGGCACTGTGGAGCTTCCCTGAGGGACCTACACAGTGACTCAGTACAGACTATTCATTCAAAGAGCCTATGTTTGGGTCTGACCCTGTGCTTCCTGATGGGGACCCAGCAGCTGTGTCCTCTCTGACTGGCAGAGTCCCCTGACCCAGGCCCTCTGTGCTGCCCCACCAGGTGCTTCCTCTCAGGACTCCCCAAGGGGTGGAGCCAATCTTCCTCCTCCTCAGATTGCAGTGTGACCTGAGTTCCAGCCCAAGGCTCAGGGAGGGGCTGGGCAGTTGCTGGATGGACACACATTTGCATGAAGAGCCCCTCCTGGGGCAGATGGAGAGAAGAAAAGGAAGCCTGGGGCAGCCCAACCAGGTGGGGGCCTGGGACTGTGCCCACCATGGCCTGGACTCCTCTCCTCCTCATGCTCCTTTCTCACTGCCTGGGTATGGACAGGTCTTAGGGACTCAGGGTAGCTCCTAGCTTGCTTCAGCCTCCTGGCTGAGATCCCTAAGAACTATCATCATCCCTGCCCCATCATTCACATGTATCTGTGTCTGCAGGTTCCCTTTTCCAGCCTGTGCTGACTCAGCTGCCCTCCCTCTCTGCATCTCCTGGAGCATCTGTCAGACTCACCTGTACCCTGAAGAGTGACATCAGTGTTGGTAGTTACAGGGTACACTGGTACCAGCAGAAGCCAGGGAGCCCTCCCCGCTATCTCCTGTACTACCACACAGACTCAGACAAGCACCAGGGCTCCAGGGTCCCCAGCTGCTTCTCTGGATCCAAGGGTACCTCAGCCAATGCAGGTGTTCTGCACATCTCTGGGCTGCAGATTGAGGATGAGGCCAACTATTATTGTATGATTGGATACAATACTGCTCACAGTGACACAGGCAAACAGGGAAGTGGGACAAAAACCTCAGGTCCTACAGGTCATAGCCTGTGACCCTTATTTTGTGGATATTAAAATATTATATGTCTAATATAAAAACTTACCCACATTGATATTGTCTCCTAGTGTATGACATGATTAATATAAAGACCTAATATTTATTCTGAAGTTGGTGCAATAAACTAGAACCACATTGCTAAAGGACATTGTTGGTGTCCTGTGGAGCATCCTAGACTCCAGCCACAACCAAGGACAGCAGTGACAGGGTCTCTTGTTCAGCCCA